AACAAGAGTTTCTGCATCTTGCCCTTATGAAACAAGATTTCTTTGTTTTTGGTTTTTTTTTACTATTTGCACTTCCATGTACAACAACAATAACAGCATTATTTCACCAGGAACAGATTTTAGCAATAAATCATGTAGCAATACAGTAGTCTCCGCCTAAGATCCCGGTGCTCGGGAGCAAAGAAATGCGGGATCTTAAGCGAACCGGGATCTTAACCGACGAATTGAGGGAAGAATCTACGGTGACTCATATTACGGCTCACAATCAGTAAAATGGTCTCCCTCCACTCTAAAATGAACTGACGTGACCCCTTGGTGGGTTTATGGCATATGGCAAGCAGAGTGATGACCTATCACAGTGCATAGCGGCATGAGACGTGCCATTTTCACTAATTATCCTATCAAGAGTCTCGAGATCTATGTTTATCCAGTTGCCCCTCTCCTTTCCCAGTGGAAAATTTATAGCTTTCCATCTGTGACCCAGTTCCCCCCGCCCCCACCACCTTTGTCGTTACACGCCATTACGTTGTGAAAACACCAATTAAAATTCCGTCTTGTCTCGCAAATTCGGGAGTAGAGACAATTGCTTCAGTGGTCAAGGAAGAGTTCACGGTTCGATGTGATCCCGCCTAGAGCGAACGTGTAGGCCCTACCCACCCAGAGAGTGAAGTAAGTTTAGGGGGAGAGCTCAGGTGTGAGTGCGATGTGTTGGGAAAACAAACGTGTCGCTCAGTTCACACATCGGTGTGATCCCGTCTGGGGCAAACATTGCATCGCTTCATAGAGTTTTACGTGTACGCGGTCACATTCACGATAGTGGCTGATCTTTAACGCGACGGACAGTTTATTGATCTTAAGTTTTCACTCTTGGTTGATCGGCTGTGCCCACCCGCGTTTTTGTTCCGAAATTATGATCTGCAATGCGGGATCTTAGCCGCATGTAGACCTTTAGAGTGAATCAGAGTGGGAACTTAGGGGTGACTTTCGTATAGTAAAAATTATGTTTTCTTAAAATAGCGGGATCTTAAGCGAATTGGGATCGTAAGCGGTGGGATCTTAGGCGGAGACTACTACTACTGTATTCATTACAAAGAAGGAGAAAGGCCAGAGACTATACAAGAAGGCTCACTTTCCAACAGCAGTAATTAAAATTAATTTAAAAGATAAAACACAATTCCATTTACAAAGTTTAGTTACTGTACAAGAATGACTGTTAGAAATGAACACGCAACTTTCAGGAAACTTGTGCATTTAATATTCAAATGAATGAATACTTTACAGGGCATGATCAATGACGAAAATGTTCAAACTGTGCAAAACAAAATTACCTTCACAATGTCTAGAACACTGTGGGAAGTAACACCTCCTTCAAGGCGCCTTTAAATTCTTGTTTCTTTCATCATGTACAGTGGAGCTCACATAATCCAAACTCTACCAAACACCAGACAAAAGAGGATGAAGGATGTTTCTCCTTCATCACCATTATCAAATTAGCCCGAGCATCACTATGCGACTCATATTTAACCAAATATTGAATTTTTTTTTATTTAGAGAAATTTTTTTTTCAGAAGGAGCTGAATTCAGCTTGACGTGGATAGGAAAGGGATGGAAATGAGAGGTACCACTTAGTAATGTGTGGAGATTAGTTTATGGCTGATAATAATCAGTAACTGACAGTGGCACACCCATGGCTGGTGAGCACAAGATGAATTACAAACAGTGCCAACGTTTCAGCCCCTCCATTAGACTACCTTCTACTCTAAATAACTGCCGCTCCTTTCCACCGATCCTGTCTGCCTTTTTTCTCACAGCAGTGAATTTTGTGCATCATAATATGATGTAATTTGTCAATAACATATTCATAACTAGTTCCGACCTCTCTGATCCAACATAGCGCAGAATTCTAAAGAACTGCAAAATTATTGTATCATCACTAGACTGGATATTTTTATACCAATCAATGCTGAATAGGTGATAGCATGAACAATAGAGCAAATGAGAACAAAGAGTGTCTGTTGAACTTATTTTGAAGTAGATCTTCACAACAGGGCTTACTAACAATAGCAAGCCATTAAAATTTTATTGCAGGAAAATACCCATATACTTAGAGTGTGAGATTCATAGCCAACAAACTCATGCATGTCGTACATTTCGACTTTCTTGAGACAGAAATCTATCACACCCAAGGGACACACTGTGGTAAATGGAAAAGAACTGCATCCATAGTGAGTCTCTAAGAGCAGTAAGCCCATATTTCAGGTGTTAAAGGGACGAAGTCAAACTTAGTGCATTGACGTTCAATTCTCTTCTCTTCACTTTGAAAATACTGAATTCCATGTTACTCATTATTTGACTCTTCATATATATATATATATATATACACAATGTAATGAGCAAACATACTTGTCATGTATACATATTCTTGAAAACATGAAAACATACTTGAAACACACATGTGAGTTCTTTAGTGTTGAAATATGCACATCTTGACAAACATTATATTCTTGATAAGAGAACAAATACACCGGCTCAGATGCTAGTCGTGGAAAACCAAACTCAAAACAACTAAGTATATGGCAAAAGAAAATATGCTCTTATCCATGAGCCCAAAAATACAAATAACTTCAGAAGACAACCACATGAAAGAGAAGAAAGAAATCTGAAAAGACACGGGGTAACAAAACTGATGGTAGGATTCAATTTCAATACAGGAAAATCAGCAGTTATGGCACAAGCAGTGAGCAATAAAAGTCAAGATGAGCAATGTTCATAGACACATTGCTTTCTGTTATTTGAGATCAAGACTCCAAAGATCAGCATATAAAAAGTCAAATGTAGACGAGTATTGTGAGATGATGACTGGCTAAAAAGTGATGGATTTTAACCCTTTGAACCTATACGGTCAGGATACCAGACTGGACCAAATTTTGCTGTAGCACATTAGTGGTTCATCGGTGTAGCACTACCATGCCCTGTGTAGTCGGTCAAATCTCAGCTCTATATCTCTTTGTTCATTGTCCTGTATCTATTTCACTTCAGAATAAGGTATACAAAGATGTCTGCCTCCATGTTTTGAAGTTTAGGTTCATTTTGCAAGGATTTTAAAGCATTGTAAATACTTTTTCAGAGCAATGAGGTGATAAGCTGATCATAATCATAGCATGCAGCAAAACAGTTCTGGGGTAAACAAAAAGAGACTGACAGGTCGAGAACTTAAAGCTGCAGCAGAATAAATTTCTGACTCAGAAGATGGCGAGACGGCTATCAATATTGACTATTCTGAGACTGATGTCTCTGATATTATAATAACAACAATTCGGATTTTCATATTGATCACAGCACTAGATCAAATAGCTAGATCTAGCCCAAAGCCCATCACTTCATAAAACACTGCCACAACAAACTCTAAAAAAAAAACTTTCAAAAGTCAAGTCAGAAATTCAAAGAAAGTGGATGTAGCCCACAGACAAAACGAGTTGAATTTCTTGCCTAGTTTTCCGACGTCACATTTTGGGAAAATTTGCATATTGAAAAAACTGACAAGCTGAACAGGCAAAAGCTACCAAACCATATGCATACTATGCCAAATACTCTGGAAATTATAGAATCTGTTGAAGAGCTGAAGGCATTTGTTAGACAAACAATTAAAGCGGACTTTTCTGTTTAGTGTAGGTAGGCCTTCTCTGAGAACTGTGAAAACTGTGCAAAGAATTTCATCATCTGCCCTCCGGGTTTTTGGGAAGGGATATATAAGTTAATGGCTTTGTGAAGTTTTCTTCATCTTATCACTGAAAAGAACCCCGATCAATTGATACAAACCTGATAAGCTTTATGAAGTCAGATCTGTGCAGGATGCTCTATTGGTAAAGTTCTACCACTATTTCTAGTCAAAAGGTGGGCCAGCCTTGATGACAGAATGATATCCATGAAAAAACAGGACTAGGCATTAAGCAATATTATTATATGAAGGACAAATCAGCACACTTTGGAATTGTAGTTACACAGCATGTCCAGGACTATTTCTAGTTTGCTCTTTAATGCGCATGCAAATTAAGGGCTAGATCTACTTGTCTTGTTTTGGTGCACGTTCACTGAACAGACAACATTCGTCGTTTTCCGTGAAAATTTGACTTCAAAATTCATTCTTGCTCATTCCCGCATTATCTATGTCCGTCAACGTGAGGGATATCAAGGAAGGAGACGATAACTTAGCCAACATTCTGTCGGCGGTGATCAACCGTTTAGAGAAGGTAGAGGTTTGAGTAACTTCTGGGTCAAGAAGAGACTGTTGTACGTGGGACACAGAGCGCTTTTCATGCAAGCGAACCTGTCAGTCCGTGGTGTGCGGGCCCCACAGCTGGTTCAGGTATTTGTATAACCTGGGATTAACCCACAAATATCTGCTGACACCAAGACAAACAATCTGCAATCTGCATATGGTGTGCAATGCCAAACACCTCAAATTCAAGAAAGAACACCCAGGGGTTGGGGATTCAGACAATCCACACAAGCAGCTAGGTAATATTCGTTTTAGTAAGATTTTTTCGGCACTTGCAACACAATAAGGTCATATAAGTGCCGAAGATTAAAGGTGTTACAAGAGAGTAACAAACACAAAAAAGGAGGAGAGATAAGGACAATAGATGTTTGATAGGAAAGAAGAAGCAAACCACACCAGAGCACCCGCCTACCACCCAAGCAGCTAGGTAAACACTACCATTCGCAGTAGATATTGTGAGTGGTGGCTGCGCATCAAAAGGCGGTCCACAAGCAGGCAAGATTGGCTCACAAGAGTAGATTTTACTGCATGAATAGGAATAAGATAGAAACAGTGTGTGTATGTTTTGTTGATCTACTCTTACTCTCTCTTCTTCAGGCAAACATTTTTATTTGAAAACTTTCAAAACCCCTTACAGGAAATTCCCCTAAAAGTCCACGGACAGCGATTCTGGAGATTTTACATTCTATGAGAGTTCAAAGGGTATCAACAAAAGGTTGGGTTTTTTTTCATGTACTACTGTAATTCCAAACTGTACAGATTTCTATGCACACAGTCTTCGTATCTTCATTCTATCTTTATAACTCGTCATGGAAAAACCACTCTTGAAAGAAACACTGAACAATACACAAAGACCTCCACCTTCTACAATATGACAACGACACAGAGCCATGCAGGAAGACCAAAAGGAGATGTTGGATAGATGAAGACAACATCAGTATTCTTATTCAAAATCTACATGCAATACCATGAGCTGTCTTTCACATAAAAACAATTTTAAAAAATATATTTGCTACTGCAGAGCATTTGGCTTGAAAGAAAGAATACACAATGGCACAAACTCACTCCTACTAGCAGACAGTCGGAGAACTGGTAAAGTACTAAAAAAAATGGTAAGAGATTCTCACTTTATATCAAGAATACAAAAGGAGTAATTTTTCATCATGCCATAGCAAAAAAAAAATCGGGACTGAATTTTGAAAACATGCAAATGTTCACATTATCTGACGAAATGCAATTTTCTTTCTCCTCTCACCAAATCAGCTTTATTACTCATTTTCACTGACCCCTAACATATATACAACATTTTTTTTAAAACATGAGCATTTAAAAAACAACAACAAACCACATGAACATTTAAAAGTATAAGTCATATATTTACTGAAGATGAATTTCTCCAGCGCCAGAACTTTCCAGAAATATACATTTCCTCATGAGCGCACAGCCCCATGTCATGTGTTCCTACAGAGACTTTTCAAAGCACATTCTAGACAAAAACTGGCATGTGCTTTAATCTTTTAATTGATGGACACAAGTTTTATTAGAGAGATAAACCATAAGTCAATACTATGTAACAAAACATGTTTTATATATATATACATAAACATTAGCTCTGATACACTGTTAATTCAATTTTAAAAAGCTGAACCGAGAGCCACAAAAGGCTAAAATTTTTTTAAGTTTGGAGTACAAAATAAAAAAAATGAGTAACTCGAAATGAGGAAAGCTACGCTACATTCTTGTTCTTTTTCTGCCACACACACATCTACCAATCAATTTTTTCCACAGGATATTCCCCACTCAAGCAGGCAGTACAATGTCCAGTCTCCTGATTGTTGGCAATCCCTTCACGCACAGCTTTCTTCAGCCCATCAAGAGAGAGGTATTTCAAACTGTCAGCTCCTGGAATATTAAATCAAGTCAGTAAAGGCATACTGTCACAGAATCTCAATACAAGAAATACCCACCAACAACCCAGTATTGATAAAGGAGTCAACAAACAAGACGAAGGTCAACCAGAGCCTGGACAACATTTGCTCCAGTCAAAAAGCCAAACCTAAATGGTGCTGGAGCTAACAATTAAACCCCATCCTACCCCGATCGCTGTGCCCTACACAAACCAACAAACGATCATGTAGGAGCTGGGATCAGAAAAAGACGATGGAAGTGGACAACCTGTATGCCCCATCAGTGCTCCCAACAGACAAAGCATTTACCCTTTGAGCCCTGGGCTCCCGGTCCTAATTTTACCCAAATCCTGGCCTCCTGAGCTTCTGGGTTCAGGGTGAGAGCACTTCAGTATACATTTTAAAAAATTAAATCAGCGCAGAATGTGCTCAAAACATGTGTGAAAGGACACAGACATGTTGGTATCCAACATGCTGACATAAACTAAAGTATTGATTGACCAAAATTTACTGCCTTTTCCTGCCTGATAATTCAACGCTCTTTTCTAACACCCAAGAACTAGTACTATGGATTACTGTTGTCTAAATGCACCATTGATGTACTGGTGCAACAGGCTCAAAAGGTTAACATACTATTGGGCCCTTTCACCAGTCACAAGCGTTGAAGACTGGCATTTTTGGGAGTATTTCAATAAATCACCACAACTCTCAGAATTACCCTATTGTAATTATTTTTTGACACAGTAAAGTAACATTCAAGGTTAATTTAATACAAAAAACTAAAGTTGTCTAAGTCTAATACTTTAATTTGTATGATTTTTTAAAAATTGGCATGAATTTGATTTTCCAAAAAATTTCCAGAGACGTGACAGGTAGAATGAAATTCACAACACCCAGGGTTGGTGATTTTTTTGATTTTTTAAATAAAAATGTAAAAAATTGATTTATTTTATTTAAATCAGATTTTTTTAATTTAAATTGGATATTTTTTTATTTTTTTAAAACGTGGACACAGTTTGGGATTTTTGGTGGCTAAAAGTAAGTTCTTTTAGTGCAAAATGCATTTTCTTTATTTTAACTAATGATTAATTTAAGCAAGTGCAAATTTAGAAAGCCTTAATTTGCTATATCAGTGAATTATGGCTGCAGACAAAAGATGAAGAAAATGTCAGTCTAAAAGGAAGGGAGGGGTTGGGGTAATTATGCATAGATAAACTTGCATTTTATTACAGTGTGTGTGTGTGCGCGCGCTTGTGTTTGTCTAAAAAGAAAAAGCTAATTTCAATTATGAAAAAAAAGTAAATTGAGTACAGTCAAAGATAGTAAATAACAAGATGGGCCACTCAGCCAAAAAAGTGTCCGCAGGAAGTATGCTCTTTGCTTCAGATGGCGCTGCAGTCTGTTTTGAAGCTCTCTTTCGTTTTTCCAGAAGAAGAATAGGAATAGCACCTCCTTGCGTGCGCAGATCGACTGCTGTTCATCAGCAGTTCGGGTTCGTTCAGTACGGAGTTTTAGATTTTTAAAATTTTAATGACCTCTCGCCTTTCATTCTAAAGTCAAATTAAACGAAGAAAACAATCACCCTTTCCTCCGGAAGAGGTTTTTTGTCAGAGTAACCATTTTAAAAAGCGTTCTTCCGAAATTCATTAAAAAACCTGCTAGTTTCACTTTGATTTTTTAAAACTCAAGTAAGATAACTCTGTTCGCTAAAGGTGCGCTTTTGCGAAGAGGGCGCCACCGAATTTTGAGGACACTTTTTTAATTGGCTCAAAGAGAGAAGTGGCCCCTCTTGTTATGTAGACTCTTTGGTACAGTATTATTTTACTACTTACAGTGACGGGGGGAAAGCAGACTTTTAAGCATGATTATTTTAGTCTACTAAACCTTATATCTGTTTTATAAAATCAAGGAAAGGAATTCTGAATGTTTATAGATGTAAAAACAGAATACATTTTTTTAAAGTGATTTAAATCACTGAGTCTTATTTTCAAAATCAAGTTGATTTAAATTTCAAAAAATCAACTGATTTAAATCGACTTGATTTAAATCAACCCAACCCTGGTTTTCAATAATGAAAAAAAGTAAATTGAGAACTGTATTATTTTACAGTGACAGGGGGGGAAACAGACTTTTAAGCATGATTATCTTAGTCTACTAAACCTTATATTGTTTAATAAGACCAAGGAAAGGAATTCTGAATGTTTAAATATGTAAAAACTGAATACATTTTTTTGAAAAGTGATTTAAACCACTGATTTTTATTTTAAAAATCAAGTTGATTAAAATTTAAAAAATCAACTGATTTAAATCAACTCAGCTCTGATTTCAATTATGGAAAAAAAAGTAAATTGAATACTGTATTATTTTACAGCAGACTTTTTTTAAGCATGATTATATTAGTCTACTAAACCTTATATCTGTTTTATGAAACCAAGGAAAGGAATTCTGAACGTTGAAATGTGTAAAATCTGAATAAAAATAAATTTTTTTTAAAGTGATTTAAATCACTGATTTTTATTTTAAAAATCAAGTTGATTTAAATTTAAAAAACCAACTGATTTAAATCAACCCAACCCTGACAACAACAACAAAAAGAAAAGTTCAAAGTGTTCTGTTTTGATTTGTATGCATGTGTGAGTGTTTGGTGAAAATATAAAAGCTGGTCTGTGCGTTGATTCAGACCCAAACACAGAATTACATGAGACAGATGTACGGCACGACATTTTGATTTCGTTGCGCGAACAACAACACCAGTAGGCTACTAGTGCTAGATCTAGCCCTAGAACTACGACTTGGGCCGTGTTCGGGTACATAGCCAGGATCCAAACTATCGGACACATCATATTCTGAGACACAAGAACTAGTCAAACGTACAGAAGTATCGAAACGGCGAAATTATGTGATTCTTGTTCATGCGACTTCTTCGACCATTACTACGACGCGACTGTTGGATTACTATCAGCTGTATAGAAAAAAACAAAGCGTGAGTTCCGGTCAGTTCAACACCAGTTGGGGTCACTGTCTTTCACCTTCAATAACTTAAAAACTACGGGCCCCAGAGATACGAAACGAAGTGTAAGTAGCTCAGGCCTGGCCAAACAAGTGTACGAGGCGGGTCACGCGATCCGTGCGTGATTTGTAGAGCGTAAAAAAAATTCAAAAGTTGGTTACCCTGGGCTTGTGGGAACCGTTGCAAGCGTCGCAGCGGGGGTCACGCAACTGTTGTGGGAACAGTGAGTTAAAGTAACGAAAATTCTAGATTGGCGGTCTGGGGACTACATTAACTCCCGGCAAGGTCTGGAGACATCGTCCTAGTGAGGGTACAGTGGTGAAGCCCCCTAAGAAATAGAAATTTTTTGTTTTTAAGGGGTCGAAAATGGCATTTGAGAGCCTGTTTGAAGAGATACTACTTTCAGGATGTACGGATTTCTGTGAAAATATGGCAGATTGAAAGCATTACCCATAAAATATCACAAGACAGTCTTTGAAGTGAAATCAACTTTAAAAGAGGATCAAACATATAAAATAATAAAGCTGTAGAGCTTTAAGAGCTAAGACATCAACAGGAACCTTGATTGTGACATTATAAATTTGCTCCTTTGTGTGGGGGTGGAGATGAAAGACTGGAAATGATGACAAGTTATTACAAGCATTGCCTCACCAAACTCATCAGCAATGTTCTCCAAAGGGACTCTGTTGGCGATGAGTTCTTCCTTCGTTGGTATGTTGATTCCCATGTAACAAGGGTGCTTCACTGGAGGAGATGCCACTCGGATATGAACCTAGAAATGTGCCATTAGGACATGGGTCAGACAAACCTTCAGTTCACAATTACAAAAAATGAGAAGAACATTGACACATTTAAATAGATGTATGCCAGTCAAAAACAACAAGACAGACAGAAAGAATAACAAGAAAGAAAAGGTGTTGGACCTTCTAGGATAAGTCTTGAGTCTCTTTCCATGGTCAAATAAAATACCGATTTTACTGTATTTCCTATCACTAACATTAGAGATCCTAGAAAAAAACGTCAGTATTTTGTAAATTGTGTCCTAATGAAGACGCTGTTTTAAGAGCATCATTCTCAATAAAATGCAATATAAATCTATTACTTTTAGATTTTAAAAAAGCACTGTGCAGATAGAGGCAAACAGAATTTAAAAGTTAGTATAAAAACACAAACGCACAGATCGGAGTTGTATGCAATCCGCACATCTTAAAAAACAGTAGCATTTCATGTAGATTTAGATAGATTCGAATGTTAGAAGACAAACCTCTGAAATGTGTCTAGCTATTCTTTATGCTGACTCCCCTCTGAGCGGCTGTCAAAAACTAGACTTAGCACAGAAACATGTGCATGCTAAAATGTTTTCGTGAAACAGGAAACTAAAAATATCATGGTTACACGGAGAGTGTGAAAAATGGATGATCAAGTACCTCTTTGGCTCCACAACGCTTGAGCAGACCCACAATGGCAGCCATGGTGTTTCCTCGAACAATGGAGTCATCTATGAGAACGATGCGTTTCCCATTGAAATTATCTACCAAAGGTCCAAATTTCTTCACAACCCCAAGCTTACGGAGTCTGGAGCAAGGTTGAATGAATGTTCTTCCAACATATCTGTTCTTGCACAAGACTTCCATGTAAGGAATACCCAACTGGAAAATAAATGGAACAACTTTGAAAACTTGAAAGAACACATGCTAATAGTTCACACTGAACTCACAGAGGTCCCTAACATTATCACATGAGATTATTATAATGTTGTCCATCTCATGACATAAAATCTTTACGCTAATAAGTACAGCACCGTCTTGCGCAGCTAGTGCAATGGAATTGATAGTATTAATTGCAATGTTTGTCAAAATCTATGAGCTGGCAGAGCATGTGCAGAAAAATGTCAACAAAAAGAGTATTTTAGTTCATGATTTTAAGACTTGTAAAGTATCTAAACAATCAGTAAAGGGATAAATAAAACAGCCCAATGAAAAAAGATAAAAGTATGAAGCATTATAGAACTTGATAAAAAAAATTAACAGCAAGAACAATATAAGCAAAGGGACGGACACAAATTTGAGCAAAGAAAACAACGACTAAATAACACATGTACTTATAATGAAAACAGCACAGAGGCCCTTACAGTATTGGCATACTCCATTGCTGCTGGGGTTGCTGACTCGGGCACAGTGCTGACCAGATCCACCGAAATGGGCCACTCCTTGGCCAGCTCTCGGCCACATCGACGTCTCACAGCAGCCACCATTTGCCCTACACAGGACAACAAGTATGTTGTAAGTAACATTTACAGCCCTAGAGTACAAAAACTGACGGTTCATGAGGAACCCATCATATAATCAATAATGCCAGAAGGAATACCAGAGATGCCAGAAGGAATACCAGAGATGCCAGAAGGAATACCAGAGAACGAGATCTCTCCAGAGAGCTAACCAAGGTCATTATCAAAGAACATACAAGACGGATGAAAGGTAAAAGAATTCACATTGAGAGCAACATTGCTGTCAACATTTATACAGCTCGACAAGTGAGTCCCAACAATATGAGGCTCCGCAGTTTTCTTATATATGAGCAGTTTTTACACAAAAACGAAAGTAGCTTGACAAAATCATGAACTATTCTATGGAAAGTAAAAGTATAAAAGAAAGAGTAGAGATACAGTTATAATATCAACCCCCCATAAAGCACCAAAGACTCACTGAGATCAGACATTTCCTCCAGTATCTTATCTTGGTATTCTCAAAAGTTGTCAATTCTCAGTATCTTACAGAACACAGCACAACAGAGGCAAAGTGGTTTTTGAGCGATGCTTAAAGACAGCTTACGCTTCTCCACTAAAAGAGTTCAAAATCTGCAGTTGCTTGTACATTGTATATTAAAGGAAAAGCCCACTTGTCTTGAAGTTTCACTCAAAAGATTCCACTCTCTGAAAGACAAAACTTCCGAATGGGACTTTACTTGAGTACATTTTGATCTTTATTTTAAAAGCCTTCCAAACAGCACAATTAGGATCTATATCCTATTGATGTCTGCTTTATAACAATTTCTCTCAACAAGTAAACACCATTTTCTTCGTTTTCATTCATGGTCTTGTCCCGACCGGAAAATCTGAAAATGAAATTCCTAGCTGTTTCCAGTTTTCCCACTGACTTGTATGGGAACCCTGCCCTAGACAAATCAGTCCCAACAGTTTTTCTTTTCTGAATTTTTTTTGCTTCTTCCCAATAAATTCCTATATTACAAACAACTGGTCAGATTGGAACTTTGTGAATTTGTTATGCATCTAACCTAAATAAGACATCATACAAAGAAAAAAGAAAAAATTTTGAATGTTCTAACAACCTCCTCACCTTCAAACACAGTGTCTGGACGAGCAAAGTAGACATATTCAAATATACAAAACGCTGGCAGCTTTGCCTCAGGTCTGGGAACTATGCATCGGGAGAAAATGCCGTTTTTATTCACTTCAACAATTTCACCTAGGGAAGGAAAGAAATAAAATTATTTCCAACAATTATCTGCCCAGATTATGGTACATTTCTAAAATATTGAAAAGGAATAGTCCGAAAAGATTACACTTCTACAATAAAAAGAGAATATAATCTATTTTACACATCATAAAAAACAGCAAAAACTACAGCGGAAAATAATGAAAGATGTGTTATCTTTGTTGATGAAGATATAAATTGTCCCCATACAGTAAAGATATGCCTATTTTACATAAAATGTATATGTTGGCAAAATGATTCCAAAGAATAAACACTCAAAAGTCAAACCAGGTAAAACTAACAATAACTACAGAAAAAGTAAGAAAATGAAACATTGTCAGACTTTTCACGACTATTCGTTCACACAGGGTTGAAGATAAAATGTCTCTACTAATATAAAGCAACTTTTTAGCTAATAATACCTGGTAAGATATCACGGACATATCTGGCGCCCATGGGATGAAACGTGCAGGATTCTGATGCGACCACCCAGGCATCACACTCATTGGGGTCGGTTTCTCTCTTTCCTGGAATAAACAACAATAGTGAAAATACTAGGATAAAGAGATGCACATTAAACTGCCTCAGTATCCCCTGCAAACTGAATTGTTTAAGTGTTTTACGGCGCTTGCAACACAATATGGACAGATAAGTGCCGAAGATAAGAGGTGTTACAACAGAGAGTAACAAACTCAAAAAAGAAGGAGGAGAGATAAGAACGATAGATGTTTGATAAGAAATTGATTGATTGATCGATTGCGTAGGTGTTTTACGGCACTATCGACTCAATTTTGGTCATTTGATAAGAAAGAAGGAGCAGACCACACCAGAGCACCCGCCAACCACCCACAAATCAAATCCACAAAGAAAAACTATAAGTTCATTTTTCTCATAAAAATGTCCCAAATTTTTTTTTAGCAAACAAAAGCATAGAAAATATAATCTTGATGGACAGCAAAAACATTTTTTTGAAAAAAAAAACAACTAAAAAACTAGAGGTACATGGGTTTTCAATATGAGGGACTGTTTCGTAAAATTTGGGACGTATATGTCATTTGTAAATAAAGAGAAGCACATCGACATAATAACTGGTCGTTTTTAAGGACCAGCAGGCTAACCCAGATTTCAGGGGTTTCTAGAAATCTTGACCTACACCAAAAGTGGGCATTGCCCTTCCTATAGGAGAAGTTTGGTTTCATTGGTGTGTATATATGTTAGGTTATAGAGAAAACTCTCCTTGTTTTTTAAAGAAACTGATAAGGGGCAAAAACTTAACCTTCGACTTTCTCAAAACAGCATTTTTCGGGATAGCCCCCTCGTGCTTAAAAGCGACCAACTGTCATTTAGTTTTAAGAAATGGTCAAGAAAGGTAGACAACTACCCGCTGATTCCCAGCAGCCTTATCAAGTCTAGCAAGAAACCCCCAGGTTACTTTTTGTCTTGCTTGCAGCAATGGGCCATGTTTGTTCCAAAATGCCTGACAGACATTTCCCCTGAAACGCAGCCACAGACAATGGCCAAGTGAAACTGACTTTTTAATCATTCTTTTAGTAACCGTTTTACAGCTCTTTCAACACAATAAGGTCATACAAGTGCTGGAGGTTAGAGGCGTTACAAGAGAGTAACAAACACAAAAAAGGAGGGGAGATAAGGATGATAGATGTTTGGAAAGAAGGAGCAAACAACACCACAGCACCCGCCAACCACACGCAAACTCTGTTGAGTTACAAATTTTCAAACGATTGTAATAAACAATATCTTTTCAATGCTAAGTACACATACACATCGTTCCAGACAATTCACCAGAATCACATCAGGGCAATTGTACTGCTGAAAAGTAAAAGAGGAAGCAGACTATACCACAGCATCCACTTGCTTATCCTGAACACAATTCACAATCCACAACAGGGTATGGATATAATATGGATTCCTCAACAAACCTAGTGAGGCTACTTCTTCTTAACTCCATCCAGCAAGATACGAAAAAGGGAGACGGGCAATGGTAAAAATTGTATCTCTGACAAAAAACTAAAAAATAATAGTGTGACGGACCAGCTGACAGCTTTAAATCACATCAACAAAATGAAGGTTGTGATAGAATTCATGAGAGAAAGGACCATGAATGACAGAAAGAGTAACAGAAAGATGGGAAAATGGAAGAAAAACAAGTAGCATTCTCCAGCTGCCAGTCAACCCACTTGGAACAACCCTCAGCCGTCCAAATGTGTCAAACCAAAGCAAAATGCTTCATAAAAATTTTTAAGAAATGATTTCACCTCAATATATATAATAGGTATTTCCGTGTTTCAAAACAATTATTTACAACAAATACCAAGCCTTCAGAGCACACTGAAGCTCCTAAAATAGCAACATAAAAAAGAGATGAGTACTGGACTACATAACAAGTTTCATAGCACACTACTCTGTCTCAAAGACATCAATATTTTAAAAGGTCATGACACTAAACGGAGCAGTAGGTTACAATAACAAACAAAACAAAAAAAACACATCTAAAAAGAAACCACACAGACATACTTTCAGAAAAAAACCCACTTCACTTGATTTTGACAGGAACATTTCTTTTTTCAGTTTTTATAAAGAAAAACCTGCTCCCAACTTCTGAAAATACATTTGGTTACACTTACGACTTGCAATAGCTTTTTTAAATTGGTTTTTTATTTATTTTTCAAAACTTTCTCATTGTAGAAATGGAAATTCTTTTTAAAAATTTGGCTTTACTTTAGTACTTTCTCAACCTAGCTTCGAAAGAGCACTTACGAACTTGGGTTAATCGTCTTCATGACATGACACCTTTGCCTCATCTCCACTTAAACCAGTGCAATGAAAAAAGCACACAACCTAAAATCGAAAATGATATCAAGATGTAAAGATTTTTCAGGACCCTCATTCGTGCAACGAAAAAAAAATGCCCACAAAGTCAGATTGAAGGTGTTAGCAACTTATTCAGTTCATAAGACTTCTCTGCATTTTGTCCACGATTTGTACTCATTTTAAGACCTGTAGCCCATATACTCACACGATTAAAAATAAATACATGACTTACAGTGAAACGATAGAAAACCTGCATACCACAAAATATAAAATCCCAAATTTGCCGTTTTATAAATATATTGATTAGTGTAAAGAAATCTATTGTGAGTATAAATATGATTTAATTTGGCAGTGTTTAAAGCTAGAAACATTACACTTTTGACTTTGTGTGATAAAGAAATCATGTGCACATTTCAGCCAAAAAAATTTCTCAAAGACGTACTTAAAACTCTTTCTCCTCAGAATAAGTCATGTGAGAGATTTTTGCCGGTCTTATACAGCAACAAGTGAAATATGTACAATATCTAAAAACCATTCAGTACATTTGTTAGACAGAGACGTATATTCGAAAGACCATTGCACCAAAGACAATTAAAAAACAAAAATCAGCCCAAGTTAAAAACACTAATTTTGGGTTCGAAACAGGATTAAGAGATGAGGAGTTCACTATTGTTCTGCATACATGATCTAATGTAGATAAAGTGCCTTGGACGCAAAAAGAAAATTCATTTGAGAGGATAGAACTCACACTTCAGCTGTTTATTTTTCTTTTTAAAAATGTCATCCAACAGAACCTCTGCGAGATGATCTACTCATCAAAATACACACTTTTCTACAATTCAGACTTTCTTTGCTTCATACTTTCCCTCTAAATTGTTTGATTTCTTTTTTTATATTTCAACAGGTATCACAAGGCAACAGAACAAAAAACAAAACAAAAAAATTGTTAAAATTTGAAATTGGGAAAACCCAATTGCAAGAGAGCCACACAGTGAGTAATCCAGTGAATAAGCAACAAAGTATATCTACTCTCTATTACTGATTGCGGTCTCAGCAATAACAGCGCAAGAAGTCATCTTTGCAGTGACAGTCTATGGGGCTAGGCTGAACAAAAAAGATGGTGCATGATACAAATAAGAAGTATACACACAGACAATTTGTATAATTAACAATAATCTAAGAATAAGGCATATATGTTTTTGGGGGGTTTTTTTCTTGAACACAAATCAAAATAAAAGTTGATATTCAGATAAATATTGTTTTCAAAGACATGTTGGTACAACATAAAAAAAGGTTATTCTGAAATAGTAGCGGTGTATTTTAGTAAACATTTAGACTTTTCCTATTGTGCTTCATAAAAAACTGGAACAGAAAGTACAAGGTACTAATTTTAAAAATATTTCATTTCAAAGAAACAAAGAGGGCTCTCATCGTTTGGAGGAATGGTGTTTGCCTCTCATTCAATAGGTCCCAGGATCGAAACTTGATAACTAAAATAAAATTCTCTAAGCTAAAATATTCTCCTTTCACCTCTAGTAGCGAAGTATCATCTGCTTTCATCTCCACCCCACCCCCCCATGGGCTCCTCTCTCCTTTACTCCTGACACTTTCTACTGCTACTCCTGGCTCCTTCTTACTGCTGTCTTTCACTTTCAGTAACACATCTGACTTTGGGGAAGGTAAACGACACCACCTTGCCCCCATATTTCAGGGTAAGTTTGACGATTTCATCCCACGGCTGTCTAGATGTCTCCACGTGCCCCTAAAAAAATACACACCCCATCTCTCGAATCGTGTTTCTTAGAGTGTGGTGTTGAGAAAAATATGTCAACTTTTAAATATTTTAGGTGTAAGCTGCACTGTAAATCCCGTAATATTTTTTGGACCCGCTTTAGGCTTACATCAAAGAAAACGTGTCGGAACCTTAGTTTGCAGTGACTTTTACGAAAGGACTTTTAGATTCTGTCGGTCGCTAAACTTTTAGACCTGCATGCAAAGGCCCAGAAAGATTAAACAGAGCGATTTGTTTTTATCCCGTTTTAACCGCAGTCAGGCGAAAGTGGACGAGCTATAGTCAGTATAAAGAACATAGAGTACCTTCAAAATCAGAATGTAGCTGCTTGAAAGGCAAGGAGTCCTATCAAGTAGGGAAAACTGTCATTTTCAAAAACATTAGTTGCACTAGAGGTAAACACTTTGCCCCCACAGGAAACCGTCTCTTTACCCCACATGACACTGATCAGCAACAGTCTGATATAACAACAAAAATGTTGTCGGAATGTCCTCATTTTAGACATGCGCACTTGTTATAGTTATATTTATAATTTCCTTTCAGAATGGTTTGTGTGGCTTTGAGGGCCAATATTAGTTTGTTTACAACAATTGGGAGTAAAAGGTTTTTTTAATGACGAGTAGGCCTGGCATGAGAGCTGCTTTACACTTGACTCCATGATGAGAATTCGGGTGATGAATGTCCTAGATCTAATGTTTTCAGTTGCGATTCTAATTCCTTTTTTGGTGAACTTGCGATCATCAGGTTCACTTTTCTCAATGTACTGAAAATTTCATGATGACAGGGGTATTTTTGCTGATATACAGGTATAGTACCGATGTATCATATTATCTGCATCCTGGTGCATGAGGACCAAGCTCTGTGCACTGGGTGGGTAGAAAGTGATAAAGAACCTACACTCAAGATCTAGCAGGGGAACACAAAGAAGAAAGAAAACTTAATCATTTTTTTTCCATTTAATTTCTTCTGACACTGAAAATGTTTTTTGAATGGGCAAGGCAAAAAGAACTCCTTCCTGGACACTTAAATTTTAAGACATTCTGCTCTGAATTAATGCATTGAAAGCCTCGGTTTCATTAGCAAGCATCAAAATTTAGAAAGTGATGAAACTGGCTTTTGCAAATTAAGTTTTTAACAGTTTTTCACCAATAATTGGAGAAAAAGAGATGGATGAGATTAAAACTAGTGGGATGAATCTCATTCAAGTGGCATGATTTACAATCATAAAAATAAGCTCACTGAATTGGAGGATTTTGATGGCCTGCAGAGGAGCTACAGTAGAAAAGCCAGCACGATTTGTAGACTAAAATATAAACTAGAGAGATGAAACTTTGGATTCAAATGGCATGGTGAAGTGATCACCAAAATAAACTCAACGGATGGGTGGATTTTGCTGGTGTGAAGAGGAACCATAGTAGAAAAGCCAGCATTAGTTGTAACACACTGAATGTGTAATGTGTCAAAGGTCAAATAAAATACTGACAAACACTGTTCCCAATCTGGTTTCAGTAGAGGGAAGCAAATGGACACAACAATGGTCATTTAGTGCTGGGAAAGAGTTAAACAGACAGGGGAAAGAAAATTAAGAAGGACCTACCACAGATAAAGAAACAGGAACTACAGTAGTGCCCTCTCACCACCAGCTAAGCAAGTTATACTGTATTTATGTACACTATTGTGTATTCCAAATATTGAAAAATCATACACCCTAATTTTCTTACGGAGAGAGAGCGAGAGAAAAAGAAAAAGACAAAGAGAGAGACAGACAGACAGACAGAGAGATAGAGAGAGAGAGAGAGAGAGAGAGAGAGAGAGAGAGAGACAGAGAGAGAGACAGAGAGAGAGACAGAGAGAGACAGAGAGAGACAGAGAGAAGGAGAGGAGGGAGCAGATGAGGGAGAGGGAGAGAGACAGAGAGGGGGGAGGAGAGGGAAAAAAGAGGAGGACAGACAGACAGACAGACAGAACAAATAAACACATATGGCTCAGGACAAATACACCACAAGCCTTCACTGAATAACTAATATTTCTCAAGGAGTTGATTCCGCGAAGACATGCGGTATGCACTTTTACTAATTATGCAAAAGTGAGAATGTTTAATGCCTTCATCTATATATTACATAACCCTTGTGCCCTCGATCTTTCTGTCACTTTTTAGTAGAAACCACACGCTCTTCAGACCTCAAAATTCAAACAAAGTTAACAATTAGCATTCCTAAGAACAAACGGAGCCCGATTTTCATGATGTTGAAACTTAAGAATAAAATCAAATTGAAGGTTTCGTTAGCTATTTATCACAATAAAACACTCCGAAATTGAGCCATTGCTTTCCTCTTCTACTTTAAAAAATTCAATCTTGGTTCACAGCAGCACGGGTAAAAGCAAACAGGAACCCCCAAAGCCTACCTGACTTATTGCTGAGACTTTGTATCTTTTTAAAATACGAGAAACGTTTTTTTTTCAAGGAATTTTAAGTCGAATGTATGGGTGTCGAGACTTTATATAAAACGATTTGGTGTATTCTCAAGGGACCAAGCTTCTTGCATTTTCAACGCTGATTGTATAGACAGGACACTTTTAAGAGGAATGATAAGTGAGCAGGGCTGTGATGACTGTGTGTGTGCGTGTGTGTGTCTGTGGTGGGTGGGGTGGGATGGGAGGGGGTGTAGTGTTGATATGAGGCAGAATTGAGCCACTGCTTTTCAATTCCACTTTTTTAAAAAATTGAACCTCTGCTCTTCCGTTTTGGTTCAAAACTGCATTGATGAAAGCATGCCAAGTGTATGTTGATGACACTGCGGGTTTTTTAGTTTGGTTTTGGGGTTGTTGTTGTTTTGTTTTTTTTTTGGGGGGGGGGGGGGTTGGGGGGTGGTCACTGGTCCCTGGGCAAAACAGGATAACCCTAGCTCAAAAACAGGGCACTGCACAGTAGCCACCAGCAATGATGTGTGATTTGTCTATGTTTCGTGGTATTGTGGATTATTTGTGTATTTAGGTACAAAAGTATTTGTGTATTCATGTACCCATTGTAATATAAATTTCTCAGGGGATCACTTAACAAGCACTTGTTGTTTTTTTAATCTCAGTTGGTAGATTCCAAAGAAGCCACAGCAAGACCGTCATCAATGAGTCGCAACTGTAGTGGCAGTCGAAAGCAAAATTATTGTGATGATCTAAGCCTTAAGCTTTAGGTTACCCTGCTAAAGGCACGTGGGCAGCTTCTAAGATAACATAACTGCAAAAGTGTCTTTCATCAAGCAATTAGCATGACACTCAAATCAACCTTAGTTCGTGGGGTCAACGATGTCAAGATATCCTCATGAACTTGCATTTTTAAATGAATTAGACACAGACGTATAGTTCATTAGTGCCCACACTCTCAAGACAACATGAAATACTGCACTTATGGTTAGTCGAGTACAGAAAATGGGTGTCTATGTCGGATAGAGAAAGACAACTTAACATTCATTCTCACTTCAAAAACAAAATTAGCAAAACCTCCGACACAACAAAATAAAAAGCTTACCTCAAATGTGACACTATTATAATACAAAATACAGTATAGTGAAGCCATGCTGGTGGGCTACGGCATAAATAATCACAACAATACCACACATGTGAACCTACCTGATCCTTTAGCAAAAACTGAGAATAAAGCAGTAAGCACATTTTCCTTGAGCACATACGTTACATCATTCTTTCTTCTTTCCCTAATGTGCCACGTAATACACCAAGAGGAGATTGAGCTGTACCCTGAGACTGACCTTGTATCATTACAAGACAACATTACCTCCCCTCATTCAAGTAGCTAAGGGATGGGAGTAAAGCAACACTTGCCCCTTTCAGCAATTTGCCCATTTGAAACCATGGCCTCAACACCAAAGGAAGTTTCTGTCTAGGGAAAATCACTACTGCAAGTGTTAGGTTAATTCTTTTCATCCCTTTGAATTCATTTACAAAATCTATCAACATTTTGAAATTGAATTTGAACCCGTTACCTGCCCACATCATCCACGTTCAAGGTTGTCACGGATGCATGCCAGGTCAACAGTCTCCAGTCCTCCCTGTCCTACAAAAGAGGTGGTACCAACTACTATTTTCGTTTAAGTTGGTGATGTCAAAATACTTTGCCTTCTGCCTCTGCTTCTCTTCAGTATTTTGACAAGTGTTATGATCTTCCAGACCTTACAACTGGGGTGTCTAATGGCATGTTCAAAATAGCTCATTTTCCTTTATTTCACTTGACCCAAGAGCTCTCCGTCTTTCTGAAATCTCATGAATATGCTGGCATTTATTTATACTTTTTTCTGCCCATCTGGTTCTCACAAGCCTTAGGAAACACTAAAATTCTGTTGCTCTTTCTTCCGTGTTTTGCAGAGGGTCCTTCCCTCTCAAACAGCAAGACAGGCCATAGTGCTCCCAACATTTTTAATATTTGGTGATTTGATACTGATCTGTTTTTCCATATGGTATACTTTATAAGTTGGACCATTCTTTGTCTTGCAATGGCTTTTCTTGCTCTGAGTGTCTGATAATGTGCAGAATCCCAGACATTTAAAATGGTCAACATTCTATCTGCTCACCATCCAGGTTTATAGGTTTCCGGGCAAGATGGAGGGAAATATTGTCAAAGTAAGTCAGTGACCACGTCAAGCAAAACATATTTAAAATATGTGAGGCATCGTGGTGAAATCAGGCGCTTGTCAAAAGAATGAAATCCGAGAAATTGGAATTTTTCAGCAAGTTTGGAAATTTTTTTCGATTTGTATTTTGGCTCAACACCTTGCATGTCAATTCAAAAACATTCTTAAGTGTGGATTTTTTTAAAGAAAACGTTGATTAAAGTCACAAAACATGTTAATTTGCAGTTTCAAAAGACTCTTAAACTATGGAAGTCACCAAGCTTTGGCGGCCAATTTCTTGTTAATTTTACCTCTGAAACCAGGTGACCCCACCTTTTTCAATCGCAAATATCTCGACTTCTATTCAAGATAAATGGATATTTTTCCCCTCAAAAGCAAGGAAAATGAATAACTTTTAAGATTATATCAATAACTACACATGCCCAAAAATTGACAAGCGCCAGATTCCACTGCGTCGCGGCACACATCTTTTCTTTCAGAAAATAAAACGCTTAGTCAGCAGAAGTTTATCAGAGAAGTTACCCTGGGACTCGAAACTTTAAAAATTGTACTTTTTATCAAAGTATGAGCAGTGTCTGAAGTCCACACCCTGAAGTTTTAATGCTGTTTCAAGGTAATAAAAGCAGATACTTGATTGCAGCCATCCATCTATGACACATGCTAAACACCTGCATCAAAACCTGCACATTTACCTGTAAAAGCATCAGCTGGGAGAAGTTTTCCAATGCACAACGGTCTGTTACCAAATGGATCTCTGACGGCCCAGATGTGATCTTTGTGCATGATGACCACAGAATATGACGCCACTGTGTGCTCCATCATCTTCTTTATCCTGCAACAGATGACCATATTTTAAAACATTTTTTTAACGATCAACGAAACAAAATCGTAGACTTGGGACCTCAGAGAGAACTGTTTCCACAACGGATATTGATTTCTACTGATAACAGAGTTATCTTTTGGTATTCAAGAACTATGTTCACTAAAAGTGCTCTCAAATTCAAAATGCTGATCAAATTTTTCTAAAACTCCATATGCACTATTCCAAAAAGAAAGAAATCACATTCTCAAAGTTAAACCAAACTACGAATTCGTACAAAGTATCGAATAGAGACAGAATATGTGAAGGGCGTGTTGAGAAGGCAACAATGTTTCAAGATTGACCGAAACAACCAAATTATAATGAACAAGGAACAACTGTGAAGTCCTGTGAGCCTTCTATAGTAGAAGCACAACAAATTATTTTCACATGAACAATTATTTACCTGCCCACCCAGTTGGCCCCGTTGGGCTCCCCACAGTCAGGAGTGTGAGTGAGCAGCTGTGTGATGAGCTCACTGTCCGAGCCACTGGATAAACCAACACCATGCCTCAGAAGCTGAGAAATGAGATGCAACAGTCAGAGTACACAAACTTTTTCAGGACTCAAGGGACCCAAAAGAACTTAAACAAGTACACGGTTCTTTTTCCTTTCTTTAGTCCTCTCCTACCCAAAAAACATGGAGTGAAGCATCCATCACAACTGAAAACAAAACATATGCGTATTACAATCTATAATGATTATGACTTAAGGATATCTAAAAAGTAATGGCTACTGTCTATACCTTTGAAAGCAACAGACCTTGCAATGATTTCAATGTGAGGAAGACATTTCATTTAGCACCTCTCTCTTTCTACCTGGATGAAGTATCCAGCATGCCTCATGTCAGCCCTGACAAAAATTTTTGAAGCTTTCTATCTCCTCAATAGACAAAAGCATGACAATGGACAAAAATAGAAAACCTTTAACATCAATTAAATAACTATGACTTGCAGAAAGGTAAATTGTAAATAAAATAAAACAAACAAAAAAACGTGCATAAAATGAACACAAAACATATCAACCGACTGAGCTAATACCATCTATACTAACAAGTTCAGAGATCTTACCTTCTGTCTCAGCTGCTGTGCATTAACAAGCTCACCATTATGAGCTACAGCAATTAGACCATGGAGACTCTCAACCACAAATGGCTGTATGTTTGCTGCTTCTGACAGACCTTGTGTGGAGTACCTCACATGACCTAGAGCACAAAATAAATCAGAGAATAAAGAGCTAATTTAAACAACTTAAATAGAGGTTTCACAACCTTTTGAAAAAGCATTAACATTTTTTTGTTTTTTTTTAAATCAGAAACATTGTAATGGGAGGTTTTTTGTGGCGCATTTGTAAGGCAATGCAATAAAATGAGTCACTCAGCTGTTTCAGGATATCAGGCAAAACGTTGACTTTCATATGTTTGGTGAGTGTGTTCCATCAAAATTTAATTTTCTCATCACCATCACCCATTCTAACCCTTGTTATGCATGTTCAAAATTAATCCTTGATTTATGTCTGAATGTATTCCTCATTTAATTTCCTTCAATTTGATATATCACATGTTACCTTTTGAATGATGGCCATATTTATATGACATGAAGTTATTTTGTACATCACCTGTATTGCCAAATCAAGTAACAAATTAGTTACGTCTAGTACCCCCCAAAAAACATGTCCGGAAAGAGTTAACACCCCTAATAAGATAAGTTTTGTTCTGTGGTTTCTAAGACAAATTAACCAGCCATAATTTGAGTAGCTATTTCAGTTCACTTATCCTATTTTTTACGCCACCAAACATTTAAACTTCTTCACAAATGAGCTCTACTTCCCATTCACAATCTACTCTCTGAAAATGAATAGGTATGGCCTTTATTCGATTGGTTTAGCTGTTCCCAAGCATTGTCCAACATAATTTGGTGAAATCTTATTCTGTATTTTCCCCTGACTATGTCAAATGAAACATATGTGAGTTGTAAACAGTAAAGTGAGACTGACAACTATAGGTACATTTCAGCAGGAACAGAGTAAGACCATAGTAAATCAGATAAACTACCACATAGCACTAGAGCTGTGCCCATTCGACTTTACTATTCGACATTCATGATTTTTGCACTATTCACAGCTATTCGCAACGTGGCAGAGCCATTCGAGTGCCGTGTGATTTTTTTCAAAACTGATAATAGTTTTTCGTCTCATTTTTCTCAAACTCAAACGTAGAAAAATCGGAGCACATTATATCTTTTAAAAAATTAAGATAAATATACAGAAATACCCTTTATTTGATGGTTACGGGACAGAGTGATAAGAGGATCCTACAAGAGTTATAAAACAATCCTTTACAGAATATCTCTTACTATTCAATATTCACTCGTCACTCTATGGACAGCTCAAGCAAGGGCACTTGACTCTTTAAGCGTTTGTTTTTTTCATGAAGGTAGCTGTCGCAATGAGCTCCCCTAACCCTACTTGAAATTCGAAGCGCTATGAACGGTGACATGATGTCATTACATTGCATTGTCAGTGATAACAACACACGTGCGCTCAGAGACTGGCATTAAACAGCGCACTTAGGTCTGGGTTTATGCTTATCATATTATATAAGAAAAAAACATTCGACGGAGGTATTCGAAGGTCATGAATAGTGAGCTCACGCTTCGAAGCTTCGATGATTTTTTGTTTATTCAAAACCGCACAGCACTACATAGCACCTATCAACCATCAAGATAGGAGTAAAACATTCAAAACTTAATGGAATGGAAAAAAACAAACAAACAAACAAACTTGCCAACAGGCAAAACCAATGATTTTCTAAAAACTTTTTCTCACTCCCCAACTTCACAGGACCATTACTTTCGAACCAAAATAGCCAGACAGATACTGTTTTCACCCACTCGTAAAGCTTGAATTAATCTTAAACCTTTTGAGCCCTTGCAACCGGTATATCGTTGGCGCGAAAAACTGCTCGTATTCCTAGCCACCGCCTGGGACAAAACACGCACAGAAACAATGTTTACTGCACAAGCAATATCGATTATTTTGAAGATCTTTCTGAAGTAGAAGCGGGAAATGACAAGAACAACCCAGGGTGGGGGTATGAAATGTGATTCTTGTTTTGTGCTAGTAGAGGTTTTACGGCGCTCACAACTACATAAGGTCATATGAGCCCGAGAAGATTAGGAGTTGTTACAAGAGGTGTTACAACAAACATAAAAAAGAAGAAGGGGAGATCAGGACGATAGATGTTTGATAGGAAAGAACAAGCAAACCACACCAGAGCACCCGCCAACCACCTACAATGTGATTTTGACAATGATATGAATGAACGTGTGAATCGCTCAGAGGAGCTCAGGCACAGAAGCCTCAGGAGGTCCAGGTACAAAGGGTTAATTTGAAAAACAAAGTGTTACACTGTCCACATGTGATAAGAGGCTCAAGATGATGAACATGCAGTCAAACAAGCAACTGAAAGTCAAAAAAATTCCACATTTCCAAACAAAGAAGACTCATGAAAAAAAACAGGCAATTCTTCATATCAGTTCAAGGCACAACTATTTAACAATATGATCGTAAAATGTCATACCTATACCAAGGTTGCCTTTCAGTTGCCTAATATCATCTTCAGTAAATGACGAGTTTACAAGACCCATAGCTTTCTTTGTAATAAACTTGTCCCCTGCGTCACCTGATGTTGTGACTATGCCAGCACTCTCTTGCCCTCTGAAACCGAGAAGAAATACAATTTTTATTACACAGTGAGTTCAAATTTTCAATCTGAGGTAAAAAAAAACAAAAAACCTCCGAACTGTGACAGTCCTCACCTCGAATAAAAAAGCTAACGCAAGATACGTGTCACCATGCACATATCAATTACAATGCAAAAGCAGAGGGGAATATATCTAGAATGAAGACACAGGCATCAGGTGTGGTTCGTCCATAGAGCAGTCGTGCAGTGCTGCCCAAAATTTCTTAATGTTCTATTACTTAAAGCACTCACAATAATAAAATAAAAGAAGCCAGAAGCAAAAACTAACTAAATATTATATCAAAACAAGGTCCTTGCTGGCTTCATAACTGTCATTTCTGTGTCTATAGCACCGTAAAACATCTGCTATGCCATGCGTAAGTCCACGCATTTTATCTAAACATAATAGGACATTTAACAATGGTAACCTGACCTATAAATCGTTCTTTGGGATAACCCAAGCGATGCCGACACTCGTAGCGAGTTTGGCTGTACATTATCATTTATAGGACGGCACATCTCAATTGTGCTCCTGTTGAATAGTGCCGAAACACAGCCCACAGTAGGCAGTCTAAAAATAAATGGGAAAGACTGTACACTATTCTATGCCAAAATTATGTGAGCCCCAGACCAATCCAGCAAAGTGCTCAAGTGAATTGTGATTGGTTCATTGTCTGTCTTGCTATTATTTTAAGTGACTCTGTGACCATGAGGGAGGTGAACATGACCATCCTATGAGTCGTGCCTTTGAATGGTGTTGTAATGGAGTGGTGAAAGTTATTACTTGAGTGTTCAGTTCTAATGCAGGATGAACGAAATTGATGTTTAGCTAACAAACAAATTTAGTTCTAGAAATCACATGAAAATAAAAGCATGACATCCTCCCTTACCAACCCAAAGATCCTAAAATTATACACCATTTCATTTACTATGTCCTTGACTATTTTCAGCCAAATAGCTTAATTGTCCTCCCCACTTTTTAGACCCACGAACTGCCCCTGACAGGCATACACACCATTTGGACACTAAACATATACCTGTACCCACCTATGTTGTAAACCAACCAAGCCAAGATGAATCAGATGAGACAAATTGATATCTGATGGCCATGTGCCTGTTGCAACAATACCAAAAAGACCACATTCCTCTCTCATGCCAGATTCTCCACCAAATGTTAACTGTGAGTCTGCCATGACCGTCTGGTTGTCTGAAATCCTCACTGCTGTCTCAGAATTTTCAACCTGAAAACAGCAAAGACAACAACATGCATGAGAAGTTTTACAGAAAACTATGAACAGCCATCGAATTTACAAAAGTTGGTATTGCAAAGTTATATCGTTTGTTATAAAATATTTAAGAAAGAAATTCATCCAAAATAAATTTGGGTTAAATCTAAAATAACAGAGATATTAAAATCAGATTCTATTTTCAATAACCACCTTCCTTTCAGCAAACGTAAGTGGCCATGCTCAGCCACCGAAGCTTCTTCCCAAAACCCAAGAGGACGATCGGCTTTTCCCAGTGGCCAGGGTGATATGATGCACAAAAGAAAAGCAGTGGCATCAGCAAGGGACAAGTACAATCAAGGTACCATTAAATGAGTTTTGATTTTTTATTTCCTTTTGCGTTTGTACATGCGTAGGCTAATATAATAGCAGAACAAAAACATTCGCACAATGTATATCTTTAAGTTAGTTGGGCAAATGCCGAGATAGGTGAAGAAGTGCACAGTGGAAGTGCAAGTGTGATGCCTTGTAACTGTAAGAGCACAGTGTAAAAAAGATCATTCATGTACTTTTCAATTAGAAGTGAAAAGAAAGACAGAATTTAATTTTTAGTATGTTAGGCTAAGTAATGCTTCTCCTTATCTATTTGTATAGAATATTTGTATGTTTTTCTTTGTTCAAAACCTATGAAGAACCAGTTTAATAAAGGCAGACGTGTTGCTCACTGCCTTTTTCGTGAACTGACAACATAGAGGGCATTTAGCCAGTCTTGGCTGTCTGAGAACTGTGAGAATGTAATAACCAAACAATGCTCACAAGGCTACCCTTTTCCTCTCCAAGATAAAAAATCATACTATCATAAAATGTGTCTTCCTCTCTGTGTGATCATTTCAATTTGTTTCACTGAATTTCTCCCTTGCAATAGGAACAGATGCTATTTTATACATAAAACATTTACACAGGTCTGTCTGCTGGCAAGCACCCTCCGTCAGCGTAACCTCGTCGCTGAGATCACGTTGGCTGCCCAATGGCTGGGCATAAAAGTGATGCAAGAGAAACATCAGTGAACGTGCGAGGAGCTAACTATTCGTGGACGCCATCTAAAAATAGAAAACCTGGGATTGCTTTGGGTTTAATGTTAGTTGTTGGTGTTCAATGTAGCTATCTCCAGTAAGCTAGCGTACCCCAAACGAGAGCCAGGATATCTGCCTGGTGCTCGACCTACCTAGATTTGTCATTGCTACGTCAGTGGACCAGCGCGGGATAGGTACTCTCTTGACAGCATTGTGAGGCGTATTGGGCGCGTACTTTCATGGTTTTCATAAAACTGGAAAAGGTACAACTATAAACAACGTAGTTATTGAGGACAGACGGAAGGGCACCATGGCACCTTTGGGTCTCACCTAGCACCACCCGTGCACACAACTTTCATCTTTTAAACTACAGCCATCATGAAAAAAGAATGATTACGAATTATCGCACACAAAACTTTTCTAAGGGAAGCTTCACTGCTTTGCACTTGTGTTTATGTCTGCTCTTTGTCTTGAGTCCAAGCATAGCCTATGTTGTGGAAGTAGTAGAGAGTCAGTGGAGTTGCAAAAAAAAAAAAATTCCTTTCAACTGTTAGATCTCTACATAATTAATTCACCTTCAGAATCAGTCAAGTTTTTCAATAACAACAGGTCACTCGTTTGACAAAGACAACCATTTCCTCCCATGTTGAATGCAGGCTTCATTTTACACTATTTAGTCAAGAAAGACGGTTTTGCTTCAACAAGGGCGAAGCAACCCCAAAACTACATTTTTAACACTTTATAACCCATGTCTCGCTATTTTCACCCCGAGTGAGAATTATAACCCATGTCTCGCTATTTTCACCCCCCTTCACCTGGGTGAGAATAGCTCCCACCCCGGTCACGGCTGTTCCACTCAGGATCACTTAGTTACCGGCCGACCTGACTTCCGAGATGAGGTCAGGCCCCGACTACGCTACCTGCAGTGGCTCGGCCTCGCGGTCAGCGGCTCCCCTGCGATGTTCTGTTTTGTACATATAAAGCAACACCAGTTCTTATTGCAGCTGGGAAAGTCAATGAAACAACAACCAAATGATCACATGAAGACGAAGGTGCAGTTTATGACAGAATAATTTTTATCACGGAGAAGTAAAAGAAAGTGTAGTTTAAGAGAGGGGGAACGCGGCTTCCATCATTGATCGGTTATCACAAACTAACATGTTTTTTTGTGTCACTGTGTGAGGAAATAACGTACGGAATAGTTTTACATATATGAATGAAGGCAACTCGTGTCCTTCCGTAAGCAAAGGAATGCGCTCTTTAAAGCACCCTTTGCTAAGTTTAACACAGCGAGCACAGACAGAGCACTCGTTAATACTAGTGCTTGCGTCGTAAGCAGACCAAAGCAGGCACTGTTTTCAACACATTTCTGTACGGCCTGCAAAGTTGCATCTGTAATTTGCTTCCTTAGTATATTCACGAGCCACATTTCCTGCACAGAGTGTTGGATTGCTTGTCGGCTGTGTCGTTGTCGATGTTTATTCTATAATATAGCAATACGTCAGACTTAAAATTTTTGCACAGAAATTGTAAGCTTCTTCCACCACAAGTACGACACAACTAGTTTAAATTCTCAAAGTGAATGTTATGAGAATGTTCCATCTTTGACTTTAAAAGGCTCTATAATTGTAAACACACAAAAAAGTCAGACAGCAAGTTTCTGCTTCACAGAGTTTTTCTTTGCACCGAGCGTTGCACTAGAGTCACATAAAGTGCGCTAGTTCATGTAAACTTAGGCCGGACCAAAGATTTTTCACCACAATGGAGAGAATAGATTTATAAACAGAAATATGAAGGTTAAGACAAAAAATTATCGGTTCAAATTATAAAAATCCGCTTTTAAATCCAAAAAATTCTTCAGTAACACACAGGTGTACAACAGTGGCAGTATAGGTATCCCAAGGGAGCATAAAACAAGATAGAAGCTGGTTTCAAACTGCGGGTTACAGAGGAGATGCTGAGCTTTTATTTGGTACACTCCTAGGTTTACGGGATGGATTAAGGGAGTACTATACTGTAAATTCCAGTTAATTTCTTGAAATTGTACCCTTTCCGTACGGAGCTTTCAGATCTAGAGATCGGCCCGTGGAAGTGGCGTAACGCGTCGAGATTTATTACCTTCCGCGAGTGGTCACAGAGGTCCGAGGGGTCAGACGGGCTACAACTAAGTGCGCCTCTCGGAGAGTGAAACTGAACAGCCGTGCGGTGTGGGCATGAGGCGAGGACTCCCCCTGACCTCTCGCAGGCCGATAAAATCATCTAGGCCCTTGGTGGCTTACCGCATGTGTTTGGGAACGAATAATAATACTGTAAAAACATTTTTCGCCTATCTAGTAAAAAAAAAGGCTCACTACCAACGCTACTGAGCGGGATGTGGGACTGGCCACTAAACGATGACAGGCCTCTCACTCTCTTTTAGTTTTAGAAGAGTTTTGCAGCATTTGCAACACAATAAATAAGGTCATATAAGTGCCGAAGATTTCAGGTGTTACAAGAGAGTTAACAAACACAAAAAAGAAGGAAGTGAGCGAAAGATGATAGAGATGTTTGATAGGAAAGAAGAATCAAGCCACACCAGAGCACCCGCCAACCACCCACTCTAACTCTCTGCCTGCACATAATAAATTATGGTTCAAGGATCAGAGAGCGTGTGCAAACATTTTGTTACTAAATGGGCGACGGGCGAGGGCGCTAAATCGTGTTAACTAGTTTAATAACTAAACAATAAATAACTTTCATTTTTTAAAAATATTCTTTCTTTTTCTTTTCTTCTTTCCCCTTCTTCTTAAACATTAGGAGTTTGTAGCCAAAAAAAGAGCCAGAGAGCCAAATGAAATGCTCCGGGCCAGACACGATCCAACAGAGCCAAATATCTGGGATTTGGCTCCAAACTGAGAACTATGACTGTGACTATTCGGACAAGAACAGTGATGATTACATGATGCAGTGTGGAGCATCAGCCCTGACCCCCCAGCCCCTAGGGTCATGTTCGCTAACCTCAGCCCTGATCCCTCTAGGGTTATTTCCGGTATAACGAGGGGGTGAGAATAGCAAGACGGGTTCTCACCCAGGGTGAGAATAACTACACTATTTACTTTACATCATGTGTAAAGATCCAAAAGTAAATTTTTATCAAAAGCTTCCCAAGTACAATGGAACATGTAGAGTAAAATTACCGGTTCGGTCAAAATAAGGACGAAAACAGGCACGTCGACTTTAAAGCTTTTCATATCTCCTATCTGCCTTGCCCTAGAGACAAACCGAAACCAGCTACAGGAAGCCCTGTGATTAGATGACCCCAGGAATGACCTGTTTCAGCTTGTTCTCATATTTGAGGCCCTTACTGGGTGCAAAAGTGACGCCCGATTTATTTACGTGTTCCCTCACATTTTTTTTGTTTTCTCATGGATTCGGGCAGTATTTTGACATTCGGTCATTTTCAATTATTATCACATTTGTTTCTTTGCAAGCTAAATAACATGATTTTTAATGCTTGTTATCAACACTTGGACACAATGATTAATAATGATAGTTTGTCTAAAGTGGTTTTCTCCATTTATAGAGCTATTTTAATGAGTATGTATCTGACCCACTCTACTACATGGTATCTGACTCTACCACACTGGCATCTGGCCTGGCATTCACTCAATTACACTGGTATCTGACTCTGCTACACTGATATCCGACTGTATTACACACTGGTATCTGACTCTACTAGACTCTACTATTATTTAAATTATGCACAAATTCTTGATTCCTTATTATATAATCATTGGCATTATATTATCTTATGTGCGCGAAGGATGAGAAACTACGCATTTTATGTTACAATCCGGGCACCCCCCCTTTGGGCAAAAACGGCGAGGCTGAACTGCAATATATTCTCTTTCATCCTTGATGGGGGCCTCATATGCAAATAACTCTCCAGCTTTCAGAGTTTACCAAAACGTAGAATCTAGGCCACAGGCTCCTTCATCCACAACCAATGTTAACTCTTCCGGGGAAACAGCTTCACGCTGTTTTGCTCAGTTGATGAAGAAAAAGCTGTCTTTAAGGACTATTTTTAGCAAAATATCGCCGTAACTGTTGTTTCAACGAAAGTAAGGGAGGTTGCTTTAGGTTTGTGTGCCACTCTTTTGGGGCTAGATCTAGATTTAAAAACAAAGTTTTAAACGATCTTTTTGTATTCCAGTGCCCGACAGCTAAAAAAACGTGCTGCCCGACCCGGTACGATTACTCTATATATACATCTTTTATTGGTACTGTTGGAGTTACCTTAATACCACCCTTGAAGTACAGTTCACACTTGTGGACAACAGTAACAGTTCAATTTCCCACAATGAATCTCAGTTTACAGAGGTAGAGAAATAAATTGACCAGTTAGATCTACCACTTGGCTCAGAGAACTCATCAGACACAAGATTCAAGAGAACTGCTTCTTGACTGGACAATAAAGAGAGGGACAAGCATGAAAAAAAATATCAACATCTTATTCCCTCAGTCAGTCTCTCCCGACGACACAAATAAAGGATTTTAAGGGAGAGTGAGAAAACACTGAGTGACTGAGAAATTCTAAACTCTAAAATGAAGAAGTCCCACCTGCCTTGACTTTGACTCAGGGTGACCATCATATGATCAGAACAATATCAATAGAGAAATCTAAATTGAAGAGCTCTATTTGAAACCAGTCAGAACATGGATTGCATAGTATAATAATACCCAAAAAGAGCAGAAGAAGCAACTCACCTTGACAACTTTATTATTTTTAAACAGCCACCTCGTTGCTTGAGACTTTTCTTTCGGGCTGCTCTTTCAAGAATACCTTTTCTCACACTCCACTGATGAATCGAGCTGTCGAGCAAGGGGGGATTTAACAATTAGTTTATGACTGTTGAAACTGGAATACAACTATTGTTCTTTGTTATTGTACAATTTCGCGGGTCGTGCGAATACTTGTCCGTTTCAATTACCTGTGTACTCGAGTACAACAACGCGAATTCAATGGTCAATAATTTTGGTTGTTCGGTTTTGGGTTGAGTTTTTTCCCCCTTTAGTAAATTGCGGGGAGTTTTTTTAAGAGGTTGAGGGGGGGA